ATTATTTTTACCCAAACCAGTTAGGGTAAACAATGTTATCCCTAACACGGACCACTGAATGCCCTTACTCTTTCCCACTGTCTGTTTTTGCGGTTGGAGAGAAAGTCACTGCTTTGGACCCTTTGCAGGTATTGCCCTTGGCTTGTGTGGGGAATGTGTTCCCCTCATGCACCCGATGCACCTCGGCCCTCCTGAGGGCTGCCTCCACCACCACTCAGCAGATCCGCCCAGCCAAAGGAGGTGAAGCCACGAGCTAGAAAGCCCAAGTATAGGTAAAGCACGCCTCGGCCTAGCAAGTAAAAGGCAGCCACAACAAGCGGGGAAAGCTGGATCCCATTGCCGCCATGGCCCAGCAGAGATGGAGGCACGCGATCCTGGCTGGGCCTGGGTGGCCATGATGTCAGAGCATTTGCAGTGTGACTGCTATTATGAGACAAACCAGGAGCAAAACACAACACACAGAGACTTAGACATTTAACAGTGGTTTATATACAACAGTTATATAGAGACATATATGTGGTAGGCAAATACCTTTACAAGCAAGCTTTCTTCTTAACTCTACACACAGAGAACTCTGCAATGAATATTGGACACAAGGAAAGAGAAAACACACCCTCTAATGGCTGCCTTATATAAACACCTCTTAAAGGGAAATACCCATGCTATACTGAATCATCTTCATTTCATCAGCCTAACATTTCATCAGACTTACAGCATCTGGCAGCTATTACTGCTGCTAGTCAGTTCTTAAATCTTAATACCTCATTAGGGAAGTACTTGGTCAGGCCTGCTGGATGCACCAGATAGATGCTTTCCCTGTCCCAGCCACGTGGGATGGAGCAGGCATGTCCGGTAATTTGCATCATATGCCTCCCCACTTGACTCTGCCTGCTGCTGGTGCCGCCGCTGTCACCATGCCTGCTTCTTGGAGGGCCAACGCAGTAGTCACAGTGGGCTGTGGAGCCGCTGCTGCCAGACACCTCCCCCCTGCACGTACACACACAGACACACACAACAAAACACGTGCAGGGGTCTGGGAGAAGTGAGCAGAGAGGCAACAATGGGGGCGGGATCAAAATGAGAAGCCTCTGTCCAAAGTCTCTGGCAGGTTAAAAAAAACAATCTGTGCAGCAGTGGCTTTTTTGTCCACCCTCCCAGTAGTGGGATTTAGCCGGTTCACACTGGTTTGGCAGAACCGTTAGCTAAATTTTTGTGAACTTTGTCGAATCAGCTGAATAGTCTTCCCATCCCACCCCACCTGCCACCCCCAAATTGTATTGATAAAGGGGGTGGGTGGCTAAGTGAGGGTCAGGAAGCCCTGCCATGCCCGATTGGGGGGGGGGGAGAAGAGATGGCAAGAGGAACCCTGTCTTGCTCCAAGTGCCTCAATGAAAGGCAGCAGCAGCCCAGCTGCTTCCCTTCCCCGCCCTCTCTGGCACTGGAAGCCAACTGTCAGCCCAGTTGCCCATTCATCCCTCTCCCCCCCCCCCCATGTCTCTCTGGGCTCACCTAGTGCCACAGTCTATCAGGGAGGCGAGGAGCTGCCCTGGCATCCTCCATGGGTTTGAAGACAGGAAAGCTGCTGATGATCCTGTGCCCTCCCTCCACCTTCCACTCTGGGGGAGTGAAGGCACCATTTCTGCAAAGGAGCAAGTGTCGCACTCGGCTCGAGCCATGTACGACACCGCCATGATCTCCCATCCATGGACTTACTGGGCCGCTTGCCAGCTGACATGGACTATCTGTGTGCCGATGGCAGCAGGTGTGGCTGAGTTACGTTAGCAGGGTGTCGACTGACTAGCTACGATATGACGCCCAGATGATTGCAGAGGAACCGAAGCTCTGGGCTATGGAATGAAGATCATGAACACCTGGAGGTTGCTGTGGCAGATAGCGACACTGGTGGAGGATATCTGAAGTTTATTAAGGTGTTTGAGGTGCTTGAGTGGTGGTGGGCATTAGAGAAATGCGGAGCAAATGGGATGCTGGCTTCTAGGGGGTGGGACTGAATATTGGAAGCAGGGCACTTACGGATTTGGATAAATGAGGCTCTGAGTCGGCAAAAACTCAGAGCTGACTTTAATCGGATATTCTTTTTACTTCTTGCTGTCATTACACTGAGAAGGAATAAAACTCTTGCCAGCTTGTTTGGACTTTCTTGTTGTTTATTGCCTTGTCAGAAGTGCTTACCCCAGCCTTGGCTTGCCTCCCTCCTCCCCCCCACCGCTTGCACACGCATAGCCCTGGAAAGGGAGCCCTAGATGGCCACCTCTTCTGTCGCTTGCTCACTCCCTGAATATGGTAGGAGCACCACAGAAAGAGGCAGGGCAGGCGGCTGTATCAAACCCAGAGGCCTTTAGGAGAA